GCGTCGTGAAGCATGCGAGGCCCAGCGAATGCTTCTCAATATTTTGCACCGAGCCTATGACCTAGCTGCCCAGCTACGCTCAGCGCACAGACGCTCGCGTCCGTGGCAGACGCAGCACGCGTCGCCTCGGCTTGACGCCGTGCCGCCTTTGCTATACTGCATACGTTGCACAATGTTCCCGTCTAGCCGCCGCATAGAGCCACAAACTTTCTTTTTAGCGAACCTCCCAGTCCTCACAAGCTTCAGAAAAAGGTTACAACTGCGTGAATGAGACGCCACGTAAGAAACAAACTCGCACACTCGAAGCGCAACGTGTGTGTGTGCATCTTTCTATGTTTGTTGCATGGTGTCTTATTCGCGCAAGTGTAACCGTTTTCTGAAAAAATGACCCAACAAGACCAACAACATGTCATTCAACAAGCTTCGCTTGAAAACGTGCCTCACCTGTTATCTCACGCACGAAAACGCCGACGCAGCCGACGTTGACGAAAGCGACGAAAGGTTCTCGCTGTCAGTCATGCATGGGCTTGTCGCTGGGTAGATGGTGTTTATGACAGTACGGCTGAAGAAAAATAATCGCTAAGGTGTGTTGAATAAATTGTTTTTATGTATAAAGAACATATCAAATTTGGGCGTATAATTATTATTTTGTAAAAACAATTCTGTTGCATTGATTATAACTGTTTTTTTTTTGCGCTTGCGCCCTCTGACGTTTGGTGAGAGCACTAGTTCGTTACGTAGTCGTGACGCACTTCCTGAGGCCAGGTTTCGCGGAGTGTCCGCTCTTGTCTTCTTCTTTCTCTAGTGCTTTAGCTTTGCTGGCACTCGCCCACAAAGGGGGGATAGGCCAAGAACCGGGCGGCAAGATCATCAAGTGAGTTAGTTATGAATCAGGTATTCAGATAGTCTCGTAGCCGGAAATAATAATAACAATAGACTAACAAGGTAACCTTTTTGATGGCATTATATACGCACACAGGGCAGAGCAAACCTCCCTGTGGCTATAACCTAATGTAATCCTTGTGGAGGATAAAATCACTGCCACGTTTATTTTTAAACCTAGCTTCGCAATTGGTTCAACCAGGTATCTTTTCCTTTGATAAGAATGTCGGTGACAGAGTCAAAAGAAATGATCTATTGATTCTGATTCCTTGCAAAAGAGACATAACGGAGATGCTGTGAGTCCCGCTTTATGTAGATAATTCACGTGCGCAATTCTCCATCGTAATCTGGCGATTGTATTTTCTAACTGCCAGCCTCACAGCACACGAAGACAGCGTGGTAAGTTCGAGGTGGAGGGCACCAGCGTCTGATGTGTGAAGCTATGTTTTGTTTCTTTCTTCGTTGACGCAGCCTTCTCCTCGTTTCACGCCGAGGGGAACGCTGAGCAGACAACGCAGTGCAGATGTGTACATCGTAAGCAATAATCCCCGTTCATGTTGGCTAAGGGGCCCTTTAGGCTCTACAGTTATGAAGGGAACTGATGGAGTATAATTACTCTGCCATTCAACTTGGTTAACCTAAAAGTATTTATACGGCATCAACTTGGTTTCATTATTAGTACCCTGCGATACGTAAAGATTGTTCATGTTCATTGACACGATAATGGAGCACTTCATTCATATTCTAACAGAATCGTTAAATACACTCCTTGAATGCAATTGGGTTTTCCTACTTAACTCTGTCACTGGGGATGGGATATGGTACCTGAAAGTTCAAACACCAACAAAGCTCTCTTATCGCACTGCTTACCTGGTGATAATTGTCGACTTGGCCGCACCTCCTGCGGCATGCACTGCGGTGGCGAGGCGCTCCATTCGCCGGACGGCAAACACTCAGCCCCTGGCTCGCCAACCATGGCGAAACCACTGTCGCAGCGGTAGGCGACACGCGAACCTATGCCGAGGCTATAGGCCACCAGTGAGCCGTTGGTGGGCATCGCAGGCTGCGGGCAAGCTGCGGGGCGTGCCGCGTACTCCATGTACACCACGGCATCGTTTGTGGGCCGCGCACCCGTCAGCAATAACACGATCAGGCGGTTCGACACGCTCGTCACATTTAGATGCGGCGGCTTCAGCTGCACGCCGCTCATGTTCGCCAGCGGCGTCGACTCGTCGCCGTCGAACAGGTACAGCTGCGGGCCATCACCACCCGCGGCACGCGGGAGCCGCAGCTGCGTGAAGGTCGCCCAAACCTGCTCGAAATGACGCGCTTGTTGTACTCCCCTGCCGCCAGAAAGTGAACATTTCTTGTCCAGGCAAAGCCCTTAATGCGTCTCTCGCAGTGAACACAACGTAATTACCACAGCACACGCAACTTCTCCGTACGCCCAACAAGACGTGTCTAATAACTCCAACTTGCCGCGAGTAGCCACCGTAGCCCAAGTTCGGCGTTCTCTCAGTCACACTCTTCTGGCTGTCATATCGCTATACCCTCTCACCCTTAAGAACTACTCGAGCTACCACGAGCATTCGTGAACACATGGGTTTGTTTACTCATCATAGATGGTCGTTAGTCGTCGGGATGCAGACGCAGAACTAAACGACCTATGTGGATGCATCCACGTTAAACGGTGCTCTAGCTGTCAACTATGAACAAATGTTTCGCAAGCTCGCTTTTAACAGCATACGATTACATTACACTCTATAAAGACGCATTTTACTTTTGCGTTTTACTGATCCCTATGACTGAGGAACCAACTATGTTTATTTTTTCCTGGCTACCATGGAAAGAATAAACACATTGGTTCATAGGTGAAAACGCGCACATTTCCCCCTAAAATTAAATAACAACAATGGTGAAGTGAATCTCAAGGGTCATGAAAAGTTCGCTCCTGAAACGACAATGCGGAACAACCGACACCCACTCGCGCAACCTCGGTGACGTCAGCATAAGTTGAGCAGACCTGCATACACGCTTTGCCTATCGAAGAACGCGGAACTTCATGGTACCGTCAGGTACGCGCAATCGGGACAATGCACGTTTGCCATATGCAATCCCCGCTAACTTAATGGTTGGATAGATGAAAGCTTTATTGTTTCCCCAGAAAAGGAGGCCCCTAACTTGAACTGGGCAGCTGACGTCATTTTCGTAACATCGTTAGTGCCGCATACGATGCCCACACGGAACCGATTTTCAAGGCTCTGCACTTATTCCCAGTACATGAGCTATATCACACAATTTTAAACAATCGCTATAAGTCGGCTATAAAAAATAACGACACATTTTTCACAGAATTGTCGGCGCTAACTCGCGCTGAACATGTGCGAATTTTGAGGACTCGTGAAGTCTGGAGATTACCAAGACCACGAACCAATTACGCAACACAGATGTTGAAATATCAGCTACCGCTACTACTTAACATATCCGAAAAACATAAGTAACACTTCCGCGTACTCAATTCGCATGTGTATGATGATAAAATGTACCTGTGAATCTCTCTCTCCCCCTTCATTTTGAACGAGTGCATCTCTGTATACTGTACCAGTGCCTTTTCTCGTATACCAGTGCCTTTTCTCTGTATACTGTACCAGTGCCTTTTCTCTTTATTGTGTACATTTTTCAGTTCCACTAGCTCGCTTATGTTGTTGCAATGAAGATAACTGTTATGTGCCCGTTTTTGCCTTTGTACGTCACGATTGTACGCCACTCTGTACGCCACGTTTGCCAAGCCCGGGGGTACGGACCCTGTCAAGCCTCATCTATGGCTTTTTGTCCGTACCCACCAAGCTCCACTGAATGTCTTTGAAGCTGAAATAAATCATGATTGATTGATTGATTAAGCAGCGTTCTTTTGTAACGCGGACCGCGTATGGCAAGAAGGCCGATGAGCATCCCTTCCGCGCACTCGCAGACGTTGTAGACCTCGCGTTCATCGATAGGAAAAGTGTCCATCCATGTGTACTCAGGCCACCGTGAATCAGGTTGATGTCGTTAGCACGCGTGGCTGCCGGTCGTGCCACGCTGTAGCTGTAATGCGACCTCCTCACGACCCCTTTAAATGGTGCTATTAAAACTTATACCTGTTCGTACCTCTATACTCCGGTGCACCAACTGAACGAGCTATTCTATAAAACTGAGAAGGTCGTGTTATACACCTGCAACAGCAAGGATTGTGTAGAAGCAGCGGGAACATATCGTCACAATTCGTCATTACAAATGTGCAGTTTTAAGTCGAATGCTCGTTTGCGTGCTCAACTGCCTAAAACAATTCGTATTGATGGGCGCACTTCAATGCTTCATAGCAAATGATCCAAATAGTGATGAAACAGCAGCAGTTTTTTTCTTTGTTTTCTAGAAGCGCGTTTTTACGGACAATACAAAGAACAAAGTTCGGTACTTACAAAGTTGCTACGTTGCTGTATTAAACTATGTTGGCTCAGGTTTGAATGGCGTGAGCTACTTATGCGCCAAGTATTCCTCGACACCGCAAGCAATTGTTCTGCTGGGTTTGTCACTGAGCGGCCTGCTACTTGATACCTCGCTGAGCTTGTTGTCAATAATACAATCTCTATGTTACACGCTTTGTCTTGCGATTACCGTGAAGGTGGCTTCAACCAAATTTTTGAAACGAGAAGTTGAGCCTGCAGTACAACCGTTCTCCGCAACAGTGAAAACTACACAATCACATAGCAAAGACTCTTACTCCGCTGTGCCATTCGGTCTGTACAGTTTGTTTAAAAAACAAGCGTAGCAAGCATACGACACGAGCAGGGCGCATGAACGTGAATGCACAATGTCACAACACGTTACACTACTATTCCTAGTTGTACTTCTAAAATTATGTTTAGCCACGTTGATGGCCTCTTTTATTGCAATGTCTAACTGAAACAAGGTGTGTGACCAGGCTAGTTGCATGGCGATGCGAACAACGCGCAAGACAAGCAATTAAGGGCAAAACAAAAACACTGCGGACCAGCCCTGTCTCCATCTATTCTTTGTTCTTAGGTGTTTCAGGCGATGTTCCCCTCGTCTAGCGAATGAAACCACAGGTGTCTCACCTGCTGTCCGGGCTGTGCGTTGATGTGCCACTCACAGCGCCGGTTCGGCGGCAGCCTCTTTTCGAAAAACCCGGGGCTGGCTATGGCGCCATTGCCGGCGTCTCTGCGCACGATGCCTCGGAGGCAGTTGGTAGCAGCGCATCGCGGAGCGGTGCTGCTCCAGCGCGGCACGCCATCGCTTCCGGCCTCGCAGCGCGCCACTCCCATGTGGCCCACAGGATCCAGCGGCGGGTTGCACATGAAGCGGATCTCACCACCTAGCTGCCACTCGCGGCCCACGACATAGCCTTGGCTCGGGGGCTGCGGCCGCTCGCACTGGCTCGGATTGAAGGCTTGATAGCGTAGTTGGAAGCTGCCCGGCACCGAATCATCGGCCAGGGGGCTGCACGAAACGACACTCGCTTACATACAGTTGACCTCAAACCGACAGAGGCATACACTCGAGGCGTGCCACAGGTGCCATTTGTTTTGCGATGCAAGGACTGTTGAGCTCTCAAACTCGGCATACCTGGAGGCGAAGTCGACTTGCACCAGCTCCCCGGATATCGTGGTTTCGAGGCAGTTAACGCAAGCGTGCGTGAACTCATTCACGCGGCCGTCCACGTTCACGCGCAACACAGCACTCCTTATCGCAGGTGACGGCAGCTGCACACTGTCCAGCCGCACCAGCAACCGAAATCCAGGTGCAGCGCGCAGCATCCAAGTGCAGTTCAGAGGGTCACTCGACCGAAGGGGCCGAGGCGGTCGTACGATGCCTTTGTCAGCACCGTCTCGAGTCTCACCACACTGCTCTGCTGCGCTGCAGGCCACCAGCAGCACTGAAAGGAGGGCGGACCAGGTCGTCATCACTGCCTGCACTCGCCTGCGATAGAGAAGACAGCGATCAGGTTCAGGCCACAGTATGGCTGATTGGCCCAAACCTGCATCCAAACTTCCTGACTCGCTTTATAAATGAGTGTTGCCTTCGATCTCACTTATTGTTGCACTACATAAATGTGCTACTCAGGTGAACAGCTTATTGCGTCCACTAACAGAAACTGAGTACAGCGGCTTTCTTACGGCACTGAGTAATAATAATATTAGTCATGGTGATAATAATCACATTATTATTAATAATAATAAAATACTAGTAATTGTTAGTATTACGTCCTAAAACCAAAAAAAATTATGAAAGACGCTGTAGTAGACGGTTGCAGAAATTTCAAACGCCCGTGCTTTCTAAACGAGCACTTGGGTATCTAGCCCTTCACCTCCATCAAAATATGGCATCTGCAGCTGAGTTTTGTTGAAGCACGTAGACGAGAGTTTTGTGTATTCGCGATGTCATCATAAAAAGGCTTACAATTAAGAGCACCCCTACGTTTCTGGGCTCCTGTACAATGTTTCTTGGTCAACCTAGGAAGCCCATAAGATATTAGTCTTGAAATTTCACAGTTGCGTGGAGAATAACACGGCCGACTTCAATAGCATTCTCACCTGTCGAAATTTAAGTAAGCACTATGCATAAACAATAAGCTTCAGTTGATAACGTAGTTTCAATTATGGTTATAGCTTAGGTGTATAGCCAGCGTAGCCGCTGTGCCATACAATTCTACAATAAGCGTAGCACTCGGTCTACACAACGACGTCGGTAGACGTCATAGCAACAGGCGTGCGCACTGAAAGGGGGGGGGGTGGAAAGCAGAGGACAGCCGCCTTCCTTCCTAGCCACCAAAGAGGGGGGGGGGGGCACAAAGCCGCCCCATACATAGACGTATAGGACGCTGCGACGAACCTTCGCTCCTCTAAATGTGGCACTAACCTCATGCCTATGGTCGTAGTGCTTGGCTCAAAGCAAAAACTTCGATGTATAGGTTGCTGCTCTCCAACTGCTAAGCATCACATCGGGTCCCACAATGCACTGACCTAGATTTTTTTTCGCACACCATGTTCATCGTCATCCACCTAACTGCGGCAATTGCAAGGCAATGTAATCTTTCATGTTCCGCCTAAATACCCGGTCTTGTTATTGCTGCTGCCACGTTGTACCTGCAAACTTCTGAATCTCATCAACCAACATAAATATCTGCCTCCCACTTCCACGTTTTCATTCTGTTGTAATTCAGTCAGTTACCTTTGATTGCGAGCGGTCATACTGCCTATACGCTGCGACAAGGCCCATGTTTAATTTTTCTTCTTGATTTCAACGACATGTCGTTAACACCAATTTGTTCTCTAACCCACTCTCATTTCTCCCTGTTTCATAAGGGTACACCTATGATTTTGCTTTGCATGACTCACCGCATCGTCCTTAATTTAACTTTATTCCTCTTTGTAAGCCTCCTGGTTACTACTGCTCCGCAGGTAAATACTGGTAAAATGCAGCTGCGACACATCTCCTGTAGGGTGATAGTGATAAACTCTGATTTGTGATTTGAGAATACTTGCCGATTGTGCTCCACCCCATTATTGTTATTCTAATTATTTCCCTCTCATGATTTGACTCGAATGCCACAACTTGTTTTAAGGATACTTATTTCATTTCAACTACCAGTGTCTCGCAATCAATCGCAAAGCGATGTTCTCTCCCGACACTGTTGCACATTGCTTCAGTTTTATGCGTATAAATTTTCAGACATACTGTTCTGCTTTACTTGTCAAATTCAATAATCATGAACTATAACTCCTCTCTGAGTCATCAATGAATGCAATGCAAAACTAGTCGCCGTACTCGTTGTCCTGTGGCGGTGGTTCAACGGGGCACGGAACAGGCAGCCGGCGTCAGAGCGCCTTTGGCCCGACTTGTAAACGACGGTCATATCAGAATATCCGAAGTCACAGACCCCATTATGCGAGGCGACCTGTAGGCTCTTATTGAAAATTGAAGACAAAGATGCCTTCTTTAATAGCTATTTCGGCTGAACCGTTGGTGCTAGTTTCAAAGCACTTCTGCTCAACGGAATCTCCTGCCTCTTATCCATCTTCGCCACCACTTACCTTCGGCATCCCGTTGCTTAAGTCATGTTGCAAATCAGCAATGTAACTCCATATACTGACAGTTTCTTCTTTCATCTGTGTTTTAACTGCTTGAAGTGATTACCAAATACGGTAGCTCTTCCGGCAGGATGGTGATGCCAACATGTGGTCAGTCTGTCATCACATGTTTGCTTTGTCTGTGCCTCACCCGTTCGTAGCATACTGACGTGTCTATGGAAGTCTTCGTGGGCTATAACACTCGTTGGTTTCAAACATACTTTCGCTGCCACATGCAAACACCTTCTTTTCTTCCTTTCCTTGAGTCCTTGTCCTTTCGATGCAGTTATTCTATTATTCCAAGCTGTTATTTGTTCAATGGGTATAACAGCGTCTCAGTCCTATACAGCTCCTTCAAGTTAGCTAGCCAACAAAGGGCGTGGTAGTCGCTCACAACATTCACATGTCTCAAGTAGAGGTGGGCGCGAAACTTAGAGGTAGCCTATATAATCGCGAGACACTTCTTTTCTGATATGTAATAGTTGACTTCTGCCTTAGGTAGCCACCAGCTCGCATAACTGACAACCGTTTGAATTTCGTCAATCTTCTGCACCAAGACGGCTCCGAGACGCACATTGCTTGCGTCCGTGTGGATTTTCCTGTCGGCGTCTTCGTCGAAATGCGCAAGTACCAGCGGTGTCTGCAGGCGTAGTTTTAGTTTCTGAAATTCTTCCTCCAGCGGCGTTTCCCACTTGAAGTCGACGTCAGTCTTTTCAACGTTAGTGAGGGGCTCGGCGATGCAGGCAATTGTTTTTACGAAACGCCTGTAATAAACGCTCAGCATTCTTGTAGGCGGGTGGCGCGAAAAAACATGGCAGCATATCCACGGAGTGAATGATGGAGAGTGGGGCAAAGCATTCGTCTGTCCATGCGTCCGTCTGTATGACCATCCATGCGTCTGTTCGTGCGCCCGTCCTTGCGTTCATTCATGCATCCGCCCCTGCGTCCGTTCATGCGTCCATCCATGCATCTGTCTGTGTGTCCGTTCGTCCATCTATTCAACACTCCAAGTCCCACCATCTCGCATCTTTTTATCATATATTCCTTATATAGAAGCACCGTCATTCAGTGGACATTCCAAGGACTAAACGAGAGGTGGCACACGCACACTTTCTTACGGCTTGCGCTTCGGGTCTACTTCCCACCTTCAACCACCTTGAGTTCATGGTATATACTAGTTCACTGTATTCATGGCACTGCGGCCCAATGCTCGCTAAACCTTCCTAAAACCAAGGAGGTTACGCCCAGCGAGTATAACGTAGCAACCTTTTCCTGTCAGATAGTGCTCAATGTACATGCCAGTGGCTGGTAATGTGAAATGAGAGACAGGAGGATTCAGCTTTTAATTTCTTACGGCTTGCGCTTCGTACCTGCTTCCCCCCTTTAACCACCTCGAATTCATTCATGGTATATACTAGTTCATTGTATTCATGGCCCTGCGGCTCAACGCTCTTTAAACCTTTCTAAAAGTAAGGAGGTTACACCCAGCGAGTATCATGTAGCAACCCTTTCTTGTCCGATAGTGCTCAATGTACATGCCAATGGCTGCTAATGGGAATCGCAGCGTGCGCGTTGACTAAAAGCCGAATGCTCCTGTTTCTCATTACCCATTAGCAGCCATTGGCATGTACATTGAGCACTATTTTTTATTGTTAAACAACGCACAGAAGAAATCTCTCACCTGGCACCACCTTGGAGGTCAAATGTTATACCTATTTCGGGTATGTGCCACTGGTGGTTACGTACTACGAGAGACGCACAAGCCACGCCATAAGGAGCTTCGCCTCTAAAAGCGATGGCGGTTGTCTTCTGTGGGTCAGGGCGTACTTCGGACTTGCTTATAACGTGTCAAAGTGCATGCGTTCCTCCTACGCAAACCGGTACTTCTCTGGCTCGAAAGTGAGTCCGGAGGTTTTGATTGCTTGAAGTACAGCTTAAAGGTGCCGGAGATGCTCGTCAAAACTTGAGGAAAACACGACAGCATCGTCCAAGTACACGAGGCAAGTCGGCCACTTGAATCCAGCCAGTACTGTATCCATGACACACTGGAATGTCGCAGGCGCCGTGCGAAGACCAAAGGATATGACCTTGAACTCAAAGAGCCTGTCTGGTGTAATGAAGGCAGTCTTTTCTCGGTCTCGCTCGTCTACTTCAATTCGACCAGTAGCCTGTTTTGAGGTCCATCGATGAAAAGCATTTCGCGTTGTCAAGTCGATCAAAGGCGTCGTTTATTCAGCGGAGAGGGTATAAGACCTTCTTCGTGATCTTGTTGAGGTGCCGATAGTGAACGCACAAGTGTAGTGTTCTATCCTTTTTCTTCTCTAACACCAGTGACGCCCGTACTTTTTGAAGGCTGGATAATAACGTGGCGGAGCATTGACTCGACTTGTATCTTTATGGCCTCATAGCTCTGGCGTCGAAACAACGTACGGGCTCTCAAGGAGTAGCCTGGTCATTTCTCCTATTACGATTCGATGTGTCGGGATAGGGGTCTGTCGAATTCTTGACGACGACGCAAAGCAGCTCTGGTATTTCAGAAGCAGGTTTATTAGCTGTTCTTGCTTATGCTTAGGAAGGCTCGTATGAACGTCCAAAGCTGGTTGAAGGGTTGGAGTCGTCGGAGTAGATTCTGCAGAATCGGTAATGACGAAGTCATTGCTGGATTGCAATATTGCTTCAGTGTAGGCAACCGTTATGCCTTTGCTGACGTGCTTGTACTTCTTGCTGAAATTTATAAGCATCACTCTTGCTTTTCCTCTACGCAGTTGGCGATTACTTTTGCGTCGCAAATATCACAGTTGATCAGCAGGTGCTGATTGCCTTCAACGACGCATTCGAAGTCTTCTGGTT